CCTGAAGGGGGCCCACAAGAAAGCTGGGGAGAGAATTTTCATAAGGGCTACTAATGACAAAACAAGGGGAAATGGGTTTAAACCGAAAGAGGGGAGGTTTAGATTAGATATTAGGAAGAAGTTTTTCACTGTGAGGGTGGTCAGACACTGGAACAGGTTGCCCAAGGAAGCTGTGGATGTGCCCCCTCCCTGGAAGTGTTCTTGGCCAGGCTGGATGAGGCTTTGAGCAACCTGGTCTAGTGGAAGGTGTTCGTGCTGATGGCAGGGGGATTGGAACTAGATGATCTTTAAGGTCCCTTCCAATCCAAACCATTCCATGATTCTATGATTCTATGATGATTCTAAATATAATATTAAGCTCTCTGATGCCTTTTCCTGCATACTATCCAGTCATGTTTCTTAATATTTATTTATTTTTTTCATAATGGAGGTTTATAGTTTATTATATTTATTTATAAACACATAATTCCTTAATTTTGATCAATATCAGTTCCTTTCATGAGCACATACAGTTTTAAGATTTATTTGAGCACTCAAAAATACATCACTTCAATTTTGAAGCCTTAAAGATGAAAGCAAATTACATTTAAATAATTTCTTGCTTCCTTTATCAAATATTTAAAAATAACAAAAAACTATTAACGATTTATGACTGCAAGTTGGAACACCTCTCCTACAAAGAAAGGCTGGAAGAGTTGGGGTTGATCAGCCTGGAGAATAGAAGGCTCCTGGGAGAGCTTATCGTGGTCCTTCAGTCTTAAAAGGGGCCTATAAAAAAGATGGGGACACAGTTTTTAGTAGGGCCTGTAGTGATAAGACAAGGAGTAATAGTTTTAAACTAAATGAGGATAGACTTAGACAAGATATAAGGAAGAAATTTTTTACAATAAGGGTGGTGAAACAGGTGCCCAGAGAGGTGGTACATGTCCCATGCCTGCAAACATTCAAGGTCAGGTTGGATGGGGCTGTGAGCAACCTGAGCTAGTAAGAGATGTCCCCGCTCATTGCAGGGGGATTGGACTAGATAACCTTTAAAGGTCTCTTCCAACCTAAACCATTCTGTGATTCCATAATAAAGAAACTACCTAAACCATAAAGAAACATGCGTATTAGTTAAGTAAGAATGATGTTTATGGAATCAAACTACACAGGAAGTAATTAAACAATTGGACCTTCCAACCATAGGTCTCCCACGTGCTCTCTTGCCTGCAAAAGACAGGCAAGCTCCTGACTTGGAAAGTCATGGAAAGCTGTCAAAAAGTTATGAAACTCTGTAGTTATGAAACTCTGTTGTTACAAAACTCTCCCCAGATCACAATGTATGTTGGTCTTGATTCACTCCCTCACCCAAAGCCTGAAATCTGAGCAGTATTTTGTTGTGTAGTCCCAGTTAATCAGTGAAGATTTACTGGGGGAACAGAGAAAATAGCTCTTGGAAAATGTCTGACCAAACTTGGTTTCCTGAAATAGCAAAGTTTACTATATAGATAACTATTGTACTAGAAAAGATGCTTTGACTCTCACCTTCTCACTGTTTTTCCTAACACACCTGATCGACCAGGTGGAACAAGCCTTGTAATACCAACCTCTGTCCTGAAGTGTTTGGTAGAGCTTGTAATGGGACTTTCAGATTCATCTGAGTAGCTAAGATTTTAGTTTTAGCTTACTCCCATTTACTTTTAAATGTAGAATACTATTTTCCCAACAGCAACTGAGAATCAGAGCCTTCCAATCCCAGCCATAACCTTTGAATTTCTGAATTATTTTGGCTGTTAGCTTTTACTGGTTTTCTCTCTTGTAATTCTTCTTCAGTTGTAAAATGAGGAAAATGAGCATGTCAAGATGTCTCAGGATTTCAATCCCTTTCCATCACAATTTTGTTTGAGCAAATTAACTCTCTTAAGTCTTATTTCTGGAATGCTTCCTAAAAATAGATTCCCTACAAAATATGAATGAAGTGAATCCAAATGTGGCAAGAATAGCTATCTTTGGACACGTGCAATGGCAGACAGTTCAAAGTATTTCAAGAAGACTTTATCTTTTCACAATTTCTATCACATTCACCAGTGTAACCATTAGCCACAGAGACAGGCCACTTGGCTAACAGAGCAGTACCAGCCACATAGGTATCACAATTGCTTTTGAAATTACATTTAAAATTACTTTTTTCACTGTCCTTAAGAAGTCAGGAAACTTATTTACACTCTCTCAGGAGTAAAGTACCCTCAAATCAATATAAATCCAGGTGGGAAGAAGCAAACAGCCACATGAGACCTGTGATTTAAGGACTTACAGGTACCTGTCCATGCTAGTAGATCATATTAGTTGGGTATACAGTCCTGGATCAAAACTCAGGAGCAGAGTTAAGATGGAGGATATGGCCCTACTAATTCAAGCTTAAGTGGGAGCAAGGAGGAGACTGTGGAGTCATCTGGGGAAAGGATAACACTGGGGCAGCAACAGGAGCAGAGAACAGACTTGCCAAAAGCAAGTTTTAGTAGCTGATTTTCTGGAGGTTGAAGTCCTCTCTCTTGACTTTAAGCCCCAAGACGTGTACCTATGTATGACCAGGCTTTGGAGAATCTGGGACTCTCCTGGATCCCTGTTCATGTTGTACCTTTGGGTATAGGGAACTGGATCCCTCTTTCAAAATGCAAAGCAGAGTTGTGAAGTTTCCCATGCACTGACGCTTGTGAATTAAACTTTCAGATAGGAGTTGGAGGTCTAAATAATCTGTTGGGTTTTGTCTGAGCAGTCAGCCCACACCTCCAGTATCTCAAAGGGCAGCTCTAACTTGGAAAAGGAAAAAAGGAAGAGCAGCTTCCATTCATCTTGTAGATCTATGCCACCATGGAGAATGGAGTTTACGGTCTACCAGGCCAGGGACGAGCTTTGTTCTGCAGTGCTTTGCTTAGGGCAGCAACCTGGGAGAGTACAGGGGAAGGGCCTGGCATAGCATAGCAGTTATTCCAGGTGCAGGGACATTGAGCAAGGGGGAAGGAGTCCTGGCCTTGATTTGGAAGATATGACTTTCACCTCTCAAGTTTCAGCTTGTACCACTATTAAGTTAAAATGTGAAAAGAAGGAATTTCACTCCTTGTGAATATTGCTCTGAAGTGCCCAAGAGGGTCCCGTCTTTCTCTTCACCTGTTGTGCTTGTTACCTGCTGTATTCCTGGTCTTTCCCCAAGCTCCCTGGGGAAAGCCCTGCTGGTCCACCCACAGCTTTTTTCTCCTGCAGGATGTTGCTTCCAGGAAATGCTTTGGTCATGTGCCAAGAAGCACAGCAAACACTGGCAGCACATACTTGGCAACCCACCTGACTGCCTTTGCCCCATGAGGCAATGCCCTTTCTCCCTCAACTTTTGCAGGGCTGGGTCCTGTCCTCATCCTCATCAGATTAAGCAAGAACTGTAATGTGTGCCTGGATAAGGACAGGGTCTAGCTATTCCCTCTTCCTCACCTTTCTTCACAGTTGCATTAAAGTATATAAGTAATCCTTAGTATGCTACAAATGTATTGTTTGGTGCAGTATGACTGAACAAAGTGGAGAAACATATTAACACCACAGTCATTGCTTCTTATGACTGGCCGTCAAATCCATTTGACTTACAAATGATCAAAACAGAAATATGCTGAAAATACAAACAAAATGGAACCACAGAAAAAAAGAAACCACCAGAGTCCCTTTCAGAATCTGAATGTTTTAGTGTAGGAAACTGTCACAAAGGAAATAGGTCAGTCTTTTGAAACCGTTTTTAAAAGTGAAAAAGGAACAGCACACTGGGATGTTAAAAAGTCTTGCAAATGTTATTCAGATGTCTAAATTTCAGAGCAGCAACAACCTTCTTGGTATTCTTTGGCTCAGAGTTAACTCTGACAATCATTTGCTCTAACAGTTGAAATGCAAAGTTTAGAAAATGTTTTTTATTTGAAAGGGAACAAAAAGTGAACCAAGGTTAATTAGTTTCTGTTGTGATCTAATGAAATGGGCCAAGTTTTCTCTTAGCTGTGACTGAGTAAATGAAACCAGAATCCAAAGTAAAACTTCTGTGAGAAGTAAATCACTGAAGAGCAATAAATGAAAGCATAACAAGTAAAACATTAGTGATAAAGTCAGAATTTGCAAATACCTAGAATATCAACTTACATTAGGAACAAAACCTGGAGTCACAGCTTTCTCTAGAACAGCATCCCAGTTGACATCAGCTAGGTATGGAGAGCTTTGGATGTCTGCAAGGCTTGAAAGTCGGCACTCTGGGTCCTTAGTGAGGAGCTGTGATCAAGCACAAGGCATTTTCTAAGGGATTGGGTGCCATATAAAACAGTAAATCTATCACACACACAACTTAGAGTAAGGAAGTGGTTAGGGAATCCTGTAACACTAGAAGTCCTGATCTAAATAAATAAATAAAAGGAATAACTCATAAGATAAGAATATAGAATGAATCATAGAAAGGTTGGGTTGGAAGAGACCTTAAAGATCATCTAGTTCCAATCCCCCTGCCATCAGCACGAACACCTTCCACTAGACCAGGTTGCTCAAAGCCTCATCCAACCTGGCCTTGAACACTTCCAGAGAGGGGGCATCCACAACTTCTCTAGGCAACCTGTTCCAGTGTCTGACCACCCTCACAGGAAAGAATTTCTTCCTCATATCTAATCTAAACCTCCCCTTTTCCAGTTTGAAGCCATTACCCCTTGTTCTATCACTACCTGCCTTTGTAAAAGTCCCTCCCCAGCTTTCTTGTAGGCCCCCTTCAGGTACTATAAGGCCGCTATAAGATCTCCCTGGAGCCTTCTCTTCTCCAGGCTGAACAGTCCCAGCTCTTTCAGCCTTGAAATATAATTTGATTGCCACCAGATGGCTGTTGTAGGCATGAAGTATATTAGTATGTGTATTAGTAACAAAAGTCTGTTTACAAATACACAAGAGTCCAAGTGACACAAAATATCACAGTTCAATGCTACGCAACAATTTGTATTTTGTCTCTAATATATTGAAGATATAGTTACACAGAGCATCCTGGTAGCAATTAAAACTAACCACCTCATTGCTCCTTCAAAAATAGGTTGCTTATTGTTGCAAAGGAAATTGATCTTACATTGCTCTATCCACACACACAAACATTTCCTGCTCAAGTATCAGTACTGATGATCTGAAATACTTAAAAGAGACAGATGGTCCTTGCAGTCTGGCCAGAAAATTAAAACGAACAAACAACTAAGGTTTTAGGAAAAAGGTGAGTTCCAGGGTTGTGATGCATTCGGGAAGAACTCTGTCTTGTAACTTAGTGACATTCACAGCAAGGTGGTTTGACTTTTATTGCTGCAATTATAGCAACATGGGACAGAGAGACATACAGCCCTTTTCATATCTAAGCTCCCTGGCTAGAAATTGTGGCAGAAAAAAATGTGAAGGGCAGAATGATCCTTCTGGTCCTTCCTTCCCTCTCCCACACGCACATCCTAGGCTGGAGAGAATGTGGCCAGGGCACAGGGTGGGGATTACTTATCCCCAAAGTTTTGCCATTGTTAGTAAATCAGTTTTAAAATAAACAAAAATATTAGATTTCTATTTCTTTGAGGCCATGAAAAGCCTGAGTCTAACCCTAAGAATAATCCAGCTTCTCAAGGGAAAATACTGCACCACTCACATTCAGAAAAGTCTGGGAACAAGCACTGTTTTCTTATCCCTCAAATTCTGACTACCTAATGTGTGTGCTTGTGTAATGCCTCTGCATTGTTGGAAGGCCTTCTGGGAGTGGAGAGGAGAGGAGAGGAGAGGAGCGGAGAGTGTTTGACCTTT